AATATTGTTGGTAAATTTCGGAGAGTTTGTGCATTTCCTGACATTGTAAGTGCTTGTCAGAAACACAGGGTTGGCTTTTTTTGTAAGACAACATAGAAGGAAATAAAATGAGAACATCCTAAATAATGCATTAGAATTATGAAATCTACTAGTACTAGCAAAATTACAGTAGATGTAAATGCATGGTTTTCACCTCACTTTCTAGTGCTAAAGAAAATGGTACATTTAGAAATTCTTCCAAAAGACAGCAAAAACGAAAAAGCAAATGAACTTATCCTGTTAATTGTTCTTAATAGCTTTCTGGGGTGAGAAACAACTTATAATACTGTTATTAAATTAGTAAGGCATGGAATAATAAACAAAAGTAATTTTGATAGCTGGAATGGCAAAACAAGGCTAACTCATAGGTAATACAGAACAGAAGAAGTTTCTTATCTGCATTCTAGTTCTTTATTATTATTTCTCAATATCCGAGTAAAACTTATAGTATTCTCACCAGCTCTGAAAGAACTTGTTTTACTAAAATGTAACTCTAGTATTGTACTTAATAGTTTTGATGTAAGCTTAAAAAATGTCATAGGAACAATTCTTACAGGACCTCTCCCTTACTTCTTTTGTCAAATCAGTACTCCCACAAAAGTAATTTAAAATAAGAGTATTTCTGTTCATGCTAGGATTTGACAAAAGTAACAAGGAAGATGATCTAAAGCTGTTTCTATGGAAGAAGGAAAGGAAAAAAACCACCCCAAACTAACTCCTCTGTTTCTGGTATGAATTGGAGCATTCCCAAGGCTGGTCTGGATTCTTATGGTTTGTGACATTTCCTGTTTGTACATGCAAGTTATGTGTCTTTGCTGGAGTTTTTCACCGCAGACTGGTACAATTTTTGTGGAACTGTGCTGGATAGTGAATTTTCTTATTCCATGGAAGTCTTTCAAGGCAGTCTTTTCACACAGCTCTCAGATGTGTTCTGACCAAACTGAGCCAGGACAGAGACTCTGACCTGCTTGTATCCAAACTATAACATTCTAACAAACCAAATGTTACAGGAGCAACTAGATGTTCCTTCATTTTGCTGTGAGAACTGCAAAACAGAAATAAGTGACACTTTTAGGATGATTTGTTTATTTGGTTTTCTTTAATAAAAGCAGGTGCTGCTAGGTTTATATATGCCTGTAACTTACAGTTTTGCTTCTTAGTTTGGGGATGGAAAAGCTTCAGTATAAATCCAGAAGCATCACTTTGAAGAAATGGGGAAACAAACAGATTTCTGTAGTCATGTTTGTTTCCTTTTTTTTTTCATTCATGGTTCTGTGATGGTCAGAGAGAGAAATAAGTCAACAAGCAAAATAAGAAATTGAAGATCCACTTGTATATGGTAATATATGGGGGAAAGCAATTGGATCTCCCCTTCCCATTAAGTTCATACAGCACTGGATGTTTGAAGTGGTGGGAAGGATTTATGTGGACTAAACAGAGATGTACACTGTGTAAATTCTTGAAAACTTTCTTACCTCTCTGTGAAAGTTAACCATTCCATTTTCAGCTGGTTTTGTAAGCCTCAAAACCAAAGGAAAGAATGTTTAGTTCAAAGATCAGAACTTTTCTAGATGAATAAAAATTATGTCAAAAAATATTGTAGGGGTATGCAAGGTAGGGGTAAAAGTTATCAAATACAAGGATCAGATGCTTTTGTCTGTTTCTAATCTAGAAGCTTATTATTAAAACAATTAATAATTTAAAATTATTTCTGACTGAGTATTTGGAAAGCTGTGTGCCTGCTTTTGATATTTATGCAGCCATCTAAGGTACTAATCCCAGTCCATTTGGAATCAGTAATAAAACTCCCATTTAAATTATTGTCTCCCTGTGTAGTTTCAGACACAGCTGAAGAGACAATGACTCAGAAAACTGTGAAGCTTTTGTTATTAGAAAAGGAACCATTCCTTTGACATTTCACAGTGACAAGTTAACTGCAGCAAAAAGAATAATATAAGTACGCTTCAGGCTTCAAAAAATCTTTACATATTTTATTTCTAAAATAACTAAAAACTGCTTCTCAAGTTAAACACTGATAATGTCTTTGCTATCTGCAGAATTGAAATCTTTATCAAACAGCTGAGTTCTTGTTTGTTTGGATTCAGATGGTGGAATAATTTAGATTGGAAGGGACTTCTGGATGTTATTTAGCCTGCTTGAAGTAGCTGTCATAACATCAGTCAGTTTGTTACATCAGTAGGTGGCCAAGGCATGGATTTGAAGAAGTTTTGAATACCTCCAGGAGTGGAGGTTGCACAAACTCTCTAGGCAGCCCATTCCAGTGTTTCATCACTTTGACCATCCTCGTGATTGAGAGAGATTTTCCTTGTTAACGGCACGGCATTTCTTGTGTCCCCACCAGGCACTGCTGAGAAGCATCTGGCTGTAGGTTTTCTGTATCTTTTTGATAAGTAGTTGAAGACAACAAGCAGTAAGATCCTTCCTTTGCATTTTCTTCTTTAGACTGAGTGAGCCCCGTTTTCTCAGCCTCTGCTCAGGCATCATGTGCTCCATTCCTCTAACCATCTTGATGGCCCTTCACTGGAGTTTCTCTAGCAGTGCAAGGACTGTCTTTAAACAGACAGCCCAAAACTGGCTGTAATGCTCCAGGTGTGGTCTCAGGAGTGCCTAATGGAGGGGAAGAAGTCATGTTCCTTGATCAGCCTGCTACACTTTTGTTGAGACCACCCAGGAGGCTGGTGGCTGCCTTGGTGGCAATGGTCAGCTTGCCCACCAGGACCCCCAGGCCTTTCCTGGAAAGCTGCTCTCTGGCTGGCAGATGCCCTCTGCTGTACTGTTGTAACTGCATTATTCCATCCCATGTGCCTTTGCCTTTGACTTTTATTGGGATTCATGCCAAGCCATTTCTCCAATCTGTCAGTAATATGCCTGTCTAAATAGTAGCTTTACCCTCCAACATGTCACCTGCTCCTGTGGATTAGTATCACCCACGAACTTTTTGAGGCTGAATTCCATCCCTCATCCAGGACATCAGTAAAGGTGCCATTGGCCCTGGTAACTGGCCAGTGTATCAGTGATGAAAGCATGTTGACGAGATGTGAGTTGTGAATTCATATGTGAATGCATTTCAGTTTGCTGCTGCTTTGCATTTTATTAATTATCCTGAATGACCGTTTTCCAGTTTCATGGCGCAGTGATTGAAAATCCATGATTGATGATGTATCAAAAATTGGATGTGTTTCATTGAGTCTGCACGAAAGTATTGGTTCTCAGTTGCAGTGTAGCATGCAAAAAAGTCTTTAAAGTAGGCTTTGGTGTTCAGGGTTAAGGCTGGAAAAACAAAGATAGCATGTTACTGTCCCAGGCTGGCCACTGGGCTTTTATTCTTTCTAGCAGTTGTTCTGATAGTTATGCTTGCTTTATTTTCTCCCCCTTATATCTTGTTAGAAACCATGACAATGGTTTCTCAGAAAATTTTCATTCTGCTTCTCACATACTTGGTCAGTCTCTTCTGCCACCGTTTAGGTCATCTCATGCCAGTTCCTATATTAATAAAAGACATCTAACTAACTCTAGGTTTCATTCGCTTTCTGTCATTTGTTACAGGCTCATATTTATCCCTAGCAGTTTCCTTTTACCAAATACTGGCAGATCATGCCCTTGCTTTTAGTAAAAGTCAGTTTGCTCTACTCTGTTTCATGCTGTTTTTTCACAGCCTTGGTTGGTTGCCTGTACTGCTCTTTACCACACCTTCCTTTAGGAGATGCCAGCCCTGTGAAGGACGACAGCAGGCTATAGTTTTTGCACCCTTTACAGTTTGATTCATCTTTAAGAGGTTTACAAAACCCAGTTATTCTTGTGGGTGAAAAGAAGGATCCCTTCCTCTCCTGCTGCAGCCTTGCATCGTGGCAAAGAAAGCACAGTAAAATTGCATCTTATTTTTGATAATTTTATGGGTGGGATGTTGTCAAAGAAAGGTTACATGACTGTAACAACATGTCAATCATACACAGTCTTACTTTTCTTCTCACTTGAGCTGTCATGAGTGAGGAATAATTCTAGAGAGATTAAGAAAATTATTTAACTGAAGTTGAAGAAAGATGAGAAACTGGCCCTTGCTATTTAGAGCTTTAAATAAAGTGATGGTACACAATGTTCCTAGAAGAATGTGTACTACTAGTGGTAAACAAAGAAGTGTGCCTGTTTTCAGAGCATGTGGTCAGGAAACTCTCTATCTGTAAAATGTCTTTGAATTTAACCAAAATCTCTTTTCTTATAGAAAGAAGATAAAGTTTATGTGTGAATTAATTTTTAAGGTTAAAAATGGTAACAAAACTAGTTAAAGTTTATGTAGGACTGAATGTATCCACCCCTCCTCAACTGAGGAACTGAGGCACTGAGGCTTATAAATTTGCAATTTTTCTCAACTCTAAACCTTAATAAAATATTCTAGATTTAATTACTTTTAAAGTGGCTTACCTTATGGAATCTTTGAATTGCTTTTAAGATTTTACCTTATGCTAGCTCTCTTTCTAAATTTTGTTTTAAATTATATTTGCATTGAATTGCTGTCATATATCAGAAGAACTTATGTCTTTGGGACACCATGTAATTTCCTACAAACAGCTGCTTAATTTAGGTGTGCTATTTTTCTGAAATTGAATATAACTTCAGTATTTTAATATAAGATTTGATTGAAATATTGAATATTCAGTTGACCATCATGCATTTCAAGAGCACAGATGCTCACCATATGACTATGATCACTTCTCTAAAGGTAAATACCTTCCAAGTTTCTGTAAAATGTGACCAAATTCAAATGCAAGTCGAAATAAAAAATATTTTATGTGTAGTCCTGTATTGTATATATGAATTGTCAATACAGACCTTAGTAGTTCAGGTCTCTCCTTTCTTCTTTTGCTGTTTTATTGTGCATTTTCTTTTTGCCTTAAGGAATAAGCATATTTGAAACCTCTCCTTTTTTTTTTCCCTCTTTATAGAGCCAGTATTGTGCAGAAGCGCATCATTTATTTTCAAGACGAGGGTTCTCTCACCAAAAAAATTTGTGAACAAGGTAAGGTAAAATAAAATATCTTTCTGACCTCCTTGTCATGTTCTGCACATTTCTCTTAACTCTTTGTATCAAGCTCAAATTTTGAAGCCTTGAATAGTTTCCTCCAGGTTCAAATTTGGAATCTTCCATTCGGTTATGTTCTTTCTTATCACATATACTGTTCCCCATACAGTCCTTCCTTGCTTCCCTCTAAATGTAATGCTTGCAACTTTTTACCTGGTCTTTTGTGATACCCATTTGTTTCCAGGGCACTTAGTTAATTGAATCCTGGGCCATTTCATCCTTTCCTAAACCTAAATGTTGCAGGTGGTTATTGCATCCTTCTGGAAAAGTTATATGCTTTGGCTGTCCAGAAATTTCAAACATATTGTGTTTTGAGGTCAGCTGAGGTTTTGTCATTATCAGACAACAATTAGAAACAATCCCCTTTTAAATCTGGAGATGACCCAAATAGTACCTTATTTAAAATGTGGATTTCAATCATTACATCCACTAATAAATATGGTCCAGGTGTTTCAGGGTTCTAGTTTAGTGTAACGGGAAACTTAAAAATAAACAAACAAAAAAAATGTGCCTAACTCAAATTTATTTTCTGGAGTATTTATTATGGCAGCTTCACTGTCCTCTGTTTGCTTTGAGTTGTAGCCATTTTCAATGGGTACTTTGCTGCTTTTTCAGACTCAGCCTCGGAAGGTGTGACTGACAAACCAATTTTAGATTGTTGTGCCTGTGGAACTGCCAAATACAGGCTGACTTTTTATGGAAACTGGTCAGAAAAGACACATCCCAAAGACTTTCCACGTGAGTATCATTATTTTGCTTGCACCATGTAGGGAGTGGGAAGAGGGTTGGAGCTTGTTGTGTGACACACCGTTACTTATTTGCAGCTCTGCTGTGAAAATTGTGACACGGATGGAATCCTGCTAACATTCAGTATTGAAAATCAATGGATCTTTCTGTGCTATACATTACAAGTAAAGCCTATTGATTTGCCTGACATTTTGAGCTGAGGTGTTTATGAGATCATATTTTTAAAGTATCTTTGTAATGAGAAAAAATCCTTTCTTTTTTTTCATGTTGTAGGCTTAGGCTGGTTTATAATGTACAGCTAGGAAATGAGGTTTTAAGAAAAATTCACAAAGGGTGGGCAGCATAGTAACATGTTGATTTTTCCACCATGCCAATCTAGCCAGTTTGTTTTCCTGTAAATTCTTTTGAATGATTCCAGTTAGTTTTGGTGAATTTTGAGTCTTGCTGCCCAAGGGCATTAACTGTATATATATATAACTTAGAATACTCTGTCTTCTTTGTCTTTGTTGGTTGAATACAAAGATAAAAAAACCACCTTCTGAACTTTTCCTGTCTGAGTTTTTAAGTTTCTGAACTACAGAATAAATATTTTTTCTACAAGTTTGCTTTTTACAGTTACTCGAGTAACTGTAAAGAGCTGAAGTTACAAAAATGTGTGTTATGCATTTGGTTTTTCATTACTGACTCCACAGTCTGTGGCAAAAAAAGTCTAGGAAACTATTTGAGAGCATGAGTCACATTTACGGGTCTTTAAACTTTGTTTTGTTGTCTGTGGCTGCTGTTTATTATATAGACTTTTTAGGTAGATTTTTAAAAAATTATTCTTATTGTCACAGCGTCAGAAGACCCTTGTTAACTCAAATGTGGTTTGTACCAGCTCACAGTTTTAACAACCTAAGCAGTATTGCTTATGCTGAGTCTCATACATTCAAAGTTGTACATTGTTCAGATACTATTGGTCAGCATAACACATGGGAGACAAAATAAGCAAAGCCAATAATTGCAGGAATGCCCTTTCAGGCTACTGGGTGATTTATATGTTTGCTGAGAGTGACACTTTTTGTGCACTGTTTGTATGGATTCGGCTGGTGGTTAGAAACAGGGCATGAGAAAATGACTGAAAACTATGAAATTACTGTAACTTAGTGATGGGGATAAATGACCTTTTCTTTTGCATCCAAGCCAGTGAACTCATGAAGAGTATGGGTGCATGATGGAAAGTAAGCAAATTTCAAAAGTTTGTTAAGATAGCAGACTCTGTAGCCTGCTTTCCCCAGTTACAAAGTGCTGAATTAAATTAATATTTTACTTAAACTGGAAGAGTGAAAAAATACCCATTTGGTACTTACACAATTAATCCTGGTAGTAACAACTAATAAGATTTTACATTAAAACTTCTTAAAGTTAAGAAAAAGATCTCATCCAGATATAGTAATATTAAAAATGAAAACTAATCATTGATATTATTCTTTAAAATGTTGAGCTTGTGCAGTAATTAGAATAAAATAAAGTATTTTTCATTATGGACTGTGATAAATTACTAAATATTTGCCGAGCCATCACAGAAAACTCTGCAGATCATAAAACTTACATTCTGCCTCTTTTCCTTAACTTATTCTGTGGTTTGCTTTAAAAATCCCTAAAGAATATGTAATTTGTTGCTTAGCTTTTCTCCAAAGAACTACTTTTTTCCAAATGCTGTTACACAGAAATGTTTCTGAAATGTACTGTGCAAAAACTCTTAATTTGGGGAAGTTGTTTTTTGCGGGTTCCATGGATTAGGAATAATTTGACATTTATTATTATACCAGTGCAATTAAAATACCTCTGTTCCATTAAATTTAGAAGTATATTGTCTAGGAGTTATCAAATGTACCCAGTCTGTAAAGCACTGCTTAAAATGAAACCAGTGCCACACAATCTCGTTCTGAGTGTGCCAACTGCAGACTGGGGAGAGGTGTGCCACGGCTGCAGACGGGGGCCAAAAACTTATTCTTAAAACAATTTTGCTTTTGTGGACCTCAAACAGAGAAGAAAAAAATTAAATTGATTTCCAAACTAAGGCTTAAATAAAATTGAGCATGTTTTTCAGGTAACTTTTGCAAGTTGCCACAACTCCTGATAACAGGCAAATGGAAACTGAGTATTTCATTTGTTATTAAATCTGGCTGAAGGGGAACTGTTAAATTTCCTATCACATTTCACCAGTCAGAAAGATTTGTATTTACATATGCCTCGTGGCTTAAAAGTGTTTATTCTCTCTGGGTATCAGCCGTGTGTGATAACAGGAATACTTATGCTCTCCATCGTGATTTGATATGGCACATGTGTGAAATGTGTCAGGGGATATATTCTCATGTTGTGATGACACCTTGATCTTTATGCAAAAATACACATATAAGTGTATAAACCAAGAAACTACTCAAAACTATGAAAATAGAGTGAAATAAGAGCATTGGAAAGCTGTCAGTACTCCGTGTGCTGCCTTAAGAACTGGATAGTGGCACTGGATGCAAAATACCTCTGGCCTTGTACTGCTCAGATTATCTCATGCAGAGAAGTTTCTTTGATGCTTAGAGGAAAAGCTTAAGAAATATCACGTTGTCTCTTTGTTCTCAAAAGGAATGGAAGGGTCAAGGTGAGGATTGAAACATTTACAAATGTAGCACAAATCTTGAGAAAAGTTTAGAGTAAATGTGGTATACCTCAAACAGCTCATTTGGGCAAGCAGGTGGGCCAGGAACTTTCTCTTCAAAGCTAATATCTTTAGGGAGAGCTGGATGAGGCTGTGCTCTGATTGCAAAGGCATCAGATGTTCTTGTCCTGCTCAGGATGAGGGAGAGAAGCTTTGGAGCACATGGAACAATTAGTTGTCCATTACCCATTTGACAAAAGACTGAAAGGTACTCTGGTTCCTCTCTGTAGTGATACAGTTTTGTTTTGTAGGGACCATGTGGAACCTTCTCTTTCAATAGGTTTCAGTGTCACTGTGTTTCAGGGTAAGCTGCTGTCTGTGGCTTGTGAGACAGTCAGACCTGCGTGCTAGGATGAAAGAGTGGGCAAAACTGGTGGTCCCATCACTGGAGCTGAGTGACAGTATCTCTCTGTGGTTTGACAAGGTGCCGCTGTATATTTAAGGAACAATTGGTAGATCTTAGATCAAGAAACCACCTTCTGTCATTGCAGTCTCTTCAGCTATTACCTGTGGACAAGGCAAGGTTTAGTTTTGGTTTTCTCCATTTAGGGCTCAATTAATGATGAGTTTTAATTGATTTTGAAAACATTAGGTCTGCTACAACTCAGAACTCATTAAGTGTATTTTAGTCCAAGTTTAGGACTAAAGAACCTATGGAAGCTCTCTTTGCTATGCAGTTAGACCATCTCCCTCATCTGTCTATTCTGCTTGCTACACATTTCTAGCTTTTTTCCCCAACCATTGGTGTTCATTTTTCATTTCTAATCTATTTTCTACTCTCCCATGATTAGGTTCCTGCATCTGACTTTATAAAATTCTCTACGCTGTCTTTTTCAATTCCATTGTCCCACCTTTCACATCTTAAATTTGCATTCCTTTTATTTACTTCATTATTCATTTTTCATTCATTTATTCAGTTTCCAGCTGTTTTTACTGCTACTCTCTACCTTTTGCATTGCAAAGAAAAATGTTAAATATTGTCTCACTCCATCACTCTGTCTCCCTCATCTCCTACAGCCTTTTCATTGTTACCAGACTGTCTGTTTATGTGAGCAGTTCATTTCCTCATCCTTTTCCTCATATCCATGTTATTTGACATTTAAGTGAATTCATTTTTATTTCTGTGGCTCCCTCTTTCCCATCCATTTTCTTTCCAACTCCGTCATGCTTTTCTAACATTTTTTTCTTTAAACTTTTTTTTTTTTTGCTCAACAAGTCAAGAAGCAACAACAGGAATCCTTCAGTCTATCGAATCCTTTAGTCTATGCCTACAACTCTTACACTATGAGACATCTGAGCAAGCAAACTTAGTGAATACAGAAACACCAAAATTCACTTCTTCACTCCCTTCCTAAATCGAAGAGAATCCCTACTAATGATGGAGAAAGGAAACATGGTACATATATAATTTAAATATGCAGAAGTAGAAAAAACAGGTGTGTCAGTGCAAATAAGAGCAGTTCTTTACCAGTATTTCAAAAGTTTCTTGGAAGAAATACTAGACACTAGCAAATGTTTCTCCCCTGTTTCAGCAGAAAGCTGCTGGAGGAAGTTTCTGGCTGTAAGCCCTTTATAGCCCCATGCCTGACAAGGTTTGGTCACCCAGCTATAAACAGAAACCTGTAACATTTAATGACAATGTAATCATGCTTGTATCTACTTTTTGCTGGTAATCTGCTGTTTTCACTCAAACAGAGATCTGGTGGGCTGCTACAAACCAGTATCTGTCAGCGAGGAAACAACTTGCTGTTAAATCTGAGAGTGACCACTGAAGTCTTCCCTTACAGATTCCCTTTTAAAAGCTGTTTGATATGGAGATCTAAAATTAAAGGCTTCTTCAACTTCCTGAAGAAGTGTGAGATCTTTGGTGAAGAAAATATATACTAAGGCAGTATGTTCTAAGGGGCTGATTGATTAGCTGGAATACAATATTTCTTACCATTTCTGCCTGTGTTGTTATATCCAATAATTACTGACCCTTTATACTCAATTTTTGTGGGTCACTGGCTTGTTCTTACTACTCTAAAGATGCGGAGTATTGATGTAGTGAGAGCTGACAGCGTGCAACGCCTGCAAAAGCTTGGTGCTGGTGAAGACTGGGGACTTCAAACCTTTAATAAAAATTAGGAACTGTGCTTCGAGGCTGTATTGATTGTTGTTTGGTTTGTGCTTTTCTCCCTGAAAGGCCGCACCAACCACTGGTCCGCGATCATCGGTAGTTCCCATTCGAAGAACTACATCCTTTGGGAGTATGGAGGATATGCCAGTGAAGGTGTCAAACAAGTCGCAGAGTTGGGGTCCCCAGTAAAGATGGAAGAAGAGATTCGACAGCAAGTAAGTGTATTTTAGTGCATACTTAGAAAAAAACCAAACAACTCACAACCAAAACATCCTCCCTTGGCCTGTGAGTGATTTGTCGTTGACAACGTCTGAATGTGATTTTGCTGACTAATCCTCAGTGAAGCGGATAAGGAGATCTTCCTGTCTTTCTAGACTCATTCTTACTCTGGCAAGAGTTTTTGTCTGTGGAAGGACAAGTAAGTCACAGCATTCTGAACTTAGAAAGTCTACCTGCCCTAAATATCTGCGTGCATAAATCACAGGTAGAAAAGTAAACCTCATGTTTCCTGGCGTAATTGTGAAGACACAGATTTTGTTAAAGGAAAACCTGGAAGACACAAGAAATACCCCTTATTCCTTTTTGAAGTGGTGGGATTTAGTTTATAGTGTATTGTAGTATTTTTATTTTCCAGTAAGCACCTTATCTTCAATTTTATGCAGATTCATTCAAGTCAGAAATTACGAGAGCGAGGTGATTTTGTTGATGAGCAGGAAGGCATCACACAATGCACTAATGATATTTGGTGAACTGGGATTATGGTTTAAGGACAAAAGAACCTTTACAGTGTATCATCTTTTAGGGGGTTAGTTCAGCATAGCAGAAATCAATCTTTTAATAGTTTATAGATGAGTTTGATTTTTTTACATCAAATAACAAGCAAATTAAATATAGCAGGACACGATGATGGCTATTGTTAGGATGTCTTCCTTCCTCACTAGAAACTGAGCTTAGTTATAAGAGAGAAAGAAAATAAATATTATTACATATAACAAGCAGTTATACCCACAGTGCCACATAGATGTATGTGTGTGGGTGAGAGCATATATAATATATGGTCAGGATTGCTCCACGTGGGAGAGAAGGCAGAAATTGCCCCCAGCAGCTTATCAACTTGTACAGGCGAGACAGGAGCAGAAGGGAAACAGCATTCAGTAAGAAAAGTTAAAGGCAGAACAGTTTAGGGACAGATGTGGTTTATTGGAGTCTCTGATTCCATTTTCCTCACTCTCCCCCAAATGGATGAAGTATTACAAATGAGCAGTAGTCAGGGGCAAGGTGGGGTAGCAGGGACACACTGCCAGGGAGAGCAAAATGGGAGCAAAAGGGCTTGTTTTGACATTTCATGTGCCTGCTTTGCTCTGCCAGCCTTTAACTTGTGAGAGGTGTGACTTAATGTTTAATTGATATGCAATATTTTAATGTATTCCTGGGACATTTTCTGCTTCTGCCAAATGTCCTGAGAATGAAAGATTTCAGAACAGCTGGAATTTTATAGGAGTAGTAGGGTTTCAATTGTTCAATGCCCAGTCTTTTTTTTTAAATGAAGAAAAGCAAAATAAATATTGTGGAAATGGAAAACAGTACTTTACACTTCAGTAAGGAAGAAAAACATGTCTTACAATAATGAATGATTATCTCCTATTTAGATGCACTCTGCAGAATGTTTCATGTTTTGCTTCCTGATGAATCACCTCATTTTGTGTGTAATACAAACATACGAATATATACATATAAATACATATAAATATAATAATATATATAATATATAAATATATATGCTGTTTCCCTATCAATCATTATGTATTACAAGCACACTTTCCTTAATAATGTGCTTTCCAAAGAAAATAATATATTCCTTAATTTTGAATACATGTAAGAAACCCTCTGTACCTACAGTCATTTCTGCTACATTTATTTGGATCTTTTCTATATTTGATACTTCTGAGAGTGAAGTCAGCAAAACTTTAAGCAGTGTTTAAAATTATATTGTTGATTAATCATTGTCTTTCTTGGTAAAGAGACAGTACTTTGAGAGCTCCAAGGTAACACTTAGATGATATGCAGAGTTACACAGAGAGATTAAAAAAAATAGATTCAATTATATTTATATAAACAGTGTAAAACAACCTCAGATTGTTTTGCCCATGAGAAAACTTGTATAGCAAAAGGCTTTATGCACTTAATTCCATTCCCACTTCTGTGATGCTTAAGTTTGTATAATCATGGTACAAGAACAGCTGGTGTGTTGGACATGAAACTCCCAAGGCCAAGAAAAATAAAATAAAAACAGCTTATAACTTAATATATAAAAGGGATATGAAAGGAATATGAACGGGCAAAACCAATTTCAATGTGGAGGGAAATGTGATGATTGATATTATTTAACCCATAATAAGCCTCAGTGCACCTGGAAATAGAAAACAGACCTTGATCCTTTGCACTTTTACAGAGAAGTAGCTGCATTTCATCTCAGCAATATGATACAAACCCAGATGGTTTAAAATTACAGCAGAGTATTCCATATCCCACATGTAACTTATAATTTTTGCCTCTTACTTGGGAAATCAAGATTTTCTCATAGTAGGCCTACATGAAATAAAGAAAATCAGATAGTTACTGTCTTTGTACTTAAGAAGTTGATTTCTTTGCACAGTCTTCGCAAATACTTTATAATTAGGGGTTTGGCACGTCTCAGTTGTGACTATACAAACATTAGGTCTGCTCCTGAACCAGCAGGGTCATGGGGAGAGTATGGGGTGAAGATCAAGTAGAGGTGCAGTTATGGAAGGTCAAGCTGAGCACTGGGTTCTGTGAATCTGGAAAAGAATGAAAATCATGTCTCTCTCTGCTTTCCCAAATCCCTGTTCCTTGTGCCACATATTTGCAAAAAGAGGATGCATTTATAAGCTGGATTCAAATCAGAGGTGATTGTGACTTTTACAGTATATCAAATAGATAACTGGCTACAGTTTCAGGGGTTGCTGAAATTGGATATGAAATCAATGAAGGTCTCAGATAATTTCAACATCAGGATGTCTGACTGTGTCAATCCTGCAATAATTTCCCAGATTCTTCTCACTCAGACTATCCAAAAAGTGAACCAATGTTATAACTGGATATTACCTACAACAGTGCGACATATCATCAAATACCATAACGTTTTCATTGAGTTTATTTGACTTTTTATTTCTTTTTAGCATGTGCTTAAGGTGCACTAATATTTTTGAGAGCTTGTGAAGTAAAATTCTGCAACCAAGACAGCAGAGCTGGTAATACCAGGAGCTAGTTTGCTGACATTTAAGTCAGGCTGCTTTTTTTTTTTTTAATTGCACTTTGTCCCTTGTAATATCCCTACCTGCCTTGACATTTGACAGTATTGCTTCCTTCCCCACATGTCCCAGTCTATCTCAGGATCTATTTGCCTCTTTTCCACTTCTTATTCTGCCTTTCTTTCCCCTATCTCTTGTGCTCCCACCCTTCTGTTGTGGGTTGATGGGAGGATGCAATTCATTAAGATCAGGCTCCAAACAGTTTTGATATTTTTGAAAACACAAGAAAGGCAATGTCTCTGCTTCATTCTGATGCCTGGACTCAGAGCTCTGTGCAGCATTTTCAGAGAGGGTAATGCCCTTCTTACAGGACCAGACTTGGATTTTTGGGAATCTGCTGTGTGTCTGCTGTGTTTTGCAGGCAGTTTCTAAGGTGAATACATAGATACATATTTATGTGACCAGCATCTGTGTCATTGACATTATCCAAGGTTTTATTAAAGAGGAAAAAATCTGTCTAATGATTTTTATGATTTATGACCAAAATAATACCGTGTATGAAGCAACAAAAAAAAGGTCTGTCCTTAAAGGAGCTTTGTTAAGAAGTGTCCTAACAATTATGTCATTAACTAAAGATTCTCAAGCGTGAATATTTCTGCTCCCCATATGACAGACTGCTGCATCATCATCAGCTTTTCTTCCTGACTAGGCACCTTTGACTGCTCTGATTTGTGTTGTTACTGTAAAGAACCCCCGTGGGATTTTTGCATGGATGACCCTGGGTACTGTAAACTTGCTTTGTAGTTTGTTTTTCTGGGAGAACTTAAAGGAACTAATCAGCCTTTTTGTTAAACTCTTCCTGGCAGCCTGAAAGGAAAGCTACAGCACATAAGAGTTTTACTAAAACAATCTGTCAAGTGGTTGATGTGTACAATAGGATAATTCATGCGTTATACTTCAGGGGTTATAAATGAACAAACAAAGGATGGAAAAGGAATTATGTGAGGAAAAGAATGTGCACTGACCTTGCATATCTCTGAAATATACTCACACTTTCACTTTGTTTTTAGAAAGTCTGATGTCTCCAGAACCTGTTATTTGATAAACTCTCTTGTCAGAAACAAATACAGAACCTGAAAGGAAAATCAAATTGTGACTACTGTGTTTAAACAAATGAACAAATAGATACAGTAAAAACAGGAATCAGAAGGAACAAAGTGTAATGCTAGATGTCATATCCTCTGCAGATGAAACAAGATAAAAACAGAGACGTTGATTTAAATATCTTGCACCTTAAGAGAACTGATTTGGTTTTTCCTAATTATTTTAGAATAAATATTAAGTCATTTTGCCAGCTTTATTTTTTTTTTTTTAAACCAGGATAAGTAATATTCTGTGCCTTGCCACCTTCCCCAGGAAGTTCAGTTTGTACTCTCTGCTTGTTCCCTATGGACACATAGGTGACATTCTTTCGGGTTTGGCTTAATGCTCTCTGAAATGTCAGTAAGTGGGATGACTTTTTAGATTGTCTTTAGTGGCCTGAGATGAAAGCTGACTGTGCCTCCAGACCTTTCAGAAGAGCAAGGTCTGCTTTCCAGGAAGATATGTGTAAAGTTTTTGACACTTGATAACTTAAGTTATATGTATGAATTGAGGATGAAACCTGAAACACAAAAAAAATTCTACAGAACAAAATGTATAATTGCTACGATTCCATCCTAATATGATTCCAGCCAAGCATTTATCTTTACAAAATAGTTCTGGTATGGATTTTTTAAAATATATCCACATAATTTAAAAAAAAAAAAAAAGAAAAGAGAGTAAAAATTAAAGTAAATTCTTTGCTGGAGTGATCCTGATTGATTGATTTTTATTTTTTTTTTTTTTTGAGAAATCTAATTTCAGTATTACAGTTGAATAGTTACCATTTTATTACCTCTTTG